CGCCGCCGGGCGTTCCGCGTGCGTGCTATGCGGGTGCTATGCTGAGGGTCAGCAGGGGAGAGAAGCCAGGGAGAGGAGGGGAGAAGCCACCTCGAGATGGACTTTAGTCACTCCTAGAAAGACTTTTCAGGCAAGTACTAGAAGCCAAAACGTCAGCGGACAGCCTGGAACTGTGGAGGAAATTGTGATAGTTGCTGGGGCAGGAGACCGATTAGAAAAGGGCGGTGAAAAGTAGCCTGCAGAGTAATTTGCGACGGCGGTGAAGTATAAATTTTATCCCGAGGGGACATTCGGCAGCCTTTGACTATTTAATTGTGTGTGTGTGTGTGTGTGTGTGTGTGTGTGTGTGTGTGTGTATTTTATTGGTTTCAGAGAGGAAGGGAAAGGGAGAGAGAGAGAACCACCAGTGATGAGAACCATTGATCAGTTGCCTTCTGCACGCCCCAAACTAGGGATCCAGCCTGCAACCCAGGCATGTGCCCCAGCCATGGTATTGATCCGTGACCTGGTTCATAGGTGGACTCTCAACCACGAAGCCATGCTGGCTGGGCAGCCTTTGACCATTTTAAATTAGGAGGTGATGCCTCCAGAGGAAGTAGGTCAGTTACTTCTTCCTAAAAGCATATTGTTAAATGTGCCCATTGAGCTTGGCTCCAGTGTCAGATGACAGTGATAGTGTTTCAGTGTCTTCTTGTGCGCCCAGCCCCAGTGCCTGGCCTGGCCTCTACTTTTAGGTGACAACTGGATCTGCAAATCTGTCCTTTCTGAAGGCCACCAGCGCACTGTGCGGAAGGTGGCCTGGTCTCCCTGCGGCAATTACCTGGCCTCTGCCAGTTTTGATGCCACCACTTGTATTTGGAAGAAGAATCAGGATGACTTTGAGGTAACCAGACTGGATGGGACCAGGATCGTTGCAATTTGCTCCCCAGAACTGGTTCAGGAACTTGAACCAACCTGGGCCAATGGTCTATCCAAGGGTCTTAAATGCCATTGATTCTTGTCCCTCTTCCCTTCTCACAGTGTGTGACCACTCTGGAAGGCCATGAAAATGAGGTCAAGTCAGTGGCCTGGGCCCCATCTGGCAACCTCCTTGCTACCTGCAGCCGAGATAAGAGTGTGTGGGTCTGGGAAGGTGAGTCTAGGTCTCTCCCGGTGCAGTTGGGAGCCAGCAGACAGATAATCTGCTACGTGACCCTCACAAGGTCAGCTTGTGGGCTCCTTTTTGTTTTCTTCCCATAGTTGACGAAGAAGATGAGTATGAATGTGTCAGTGTCCTCAATTCCCATACGCAGGATGTCAAGCATGTGGTCTGGCACCCAAGCCAGGAGGTAAGAGTCTGGCAAAGTATCTCGGTGGGAAGGGATTCTGGTATGGAGGGGGTGCCCAGCCCCCCTCTGCTTGTCAGCCTCAGCTGGCTTTCAAAGAGATCACTACCTGTGGCCAAAAGACATTTGTCCCCGTTATGAAGAAGCTCCCTGGGACCGTCCTGTCCTAGCAGGGGGAGGTATTGGAGCCACAGGCACTTCCTGGGCCATAAGTGCTGTGTTTTCCCCATGTCCCCAGCTGTTAGCCTCTGCCAGCTATGATGACACGGTGAAGCTATACCGGGAGGAAGAGGACGACTGGGTATGCTGTGCCACCCTTGAGGGTCATGAATCCACTGTGTGGAGCTTGGCCTTTGACCCCAGTGGCCAGCGTCTGGCGTCTTGCAGTGATGACCGTACCGTGCGCATCTGGCGCCAGTACCTACCAGGCAATGAGCAAGGTGAGGGGCCAGGCACAGAGCTAAGAAGACTCCTTTCTAAGAGGTTGACAGTCTGGCTGAGACCCTGAGACCCAGATGAAGCACAGCAAACGGGTAGAAGGGCTCTAAGAGGTTGACAGTCTGGCTGAGACCCAGATGAAGCACAGCAAACGGGTAGAAGGGGAGACATGCCATGAGAGAGCGCCGGAGAGATGGAAGAAGCAGGGAAGGCTACGTAGAAGGGCTATTTCATCGGAACTTGAAAGGATGTGTAGGATTTTACAAGAAGAGAACTCTGGGTGAGAACAGAACAGCATGAGCAAAGGCATTAAAGATGGGAAAGCCTAGATCTCACAGGAGCAGTGCTTCCTTTAGGTGAAGCATGAGGTATATAAAGGGTTTGGGGGGGAATAAGGTGGGTTGGGCTGGCTGGTGGGTGGCCTTCAAAGGCAGGCTAACCAGTCTGCAGCAAAAGTTTTTTTAAAGAACAGCACATTTCCTTCTCAGAATTCTGCAAAAATACCAGTTTGGCCATAGTATGTAAGGCAGAGCCGTGAGAGTGGGGACAGAGAAATGAAGATGAGGACTCATTAAAGAACAGCACATTTTTTTCTCAGAATTCTGAAAAAAATACCAGTCTGGCCATAGTATGTAAGGCAGAGCTGTGAGAGTGGGGACAGAGAAATGAAGATGAGGACTCATGATTGAGGGTGAGGGTAAGCAAGGGCAAATTAGAATCTCTGCAGTGAGGCATTTAGACCCCTAAGGTGCCCGGGACACAGATGTGCCTTGGACTCAAGAGAGGTCTGTCGTGCAGGGGTGGTGTGCAGCGGCTCTGACCCCAGCTGGAAATGTATCTGCACTTTGTCAGGCTTCCACTCCAGGACCATCTACGACATTGCTTGGTAATGCCTCCATCTCCTTTCCCCATCTCCACTCCACTCCACTCCACTCCCCAATTTAGAGACATTTTAGAGAAGTCAGACCATGTGCTGCTCTCTGCCCCCTTTGGTAGTTCTAGTCCTATGAATCTATCCCTAGATAATGAAATCTAATCCTAAATAATGAAAAAAGTTGATGTGCCTCTAAGCTTTATTTACATTAACAAACATGTGGGAGTAACAAAAACAGGCTTAAGTGTGGTAAAATTCAATGGCCTGTTATACTACTTTTAAAAAATGATTAAGCAAACTTCATGACAAAGGAAATTGCTTATGCTGAGTGACCAAAGTGTAATTCAGTATCTTATTTAGTTTTTTAGGTTAATTATACTGGGGGAAACGTGGATGGCAGCACTTGAATGCTTAGGGGGTGATGTCTGTGGCTATATGTTAATTAGGGGAACTCTTCAATAAGACACGCTAGCTGAAGCCGGAAGTTTGGGAAGAAAGCCAGCCAGGGCCTATAAAATCAGCATCCTCTACTAACTTGCTGGGCTGGGGAGGGAGGAGCCACCAGCGTAATCACTGATGCATGTGTTCCTCCCAGGTGTTCGCTGACAGGGGCCCTGGCTACAGCTTGTGGGGACGATGCCATCCGAGTGTTTGAGGAGGACCCCGGCTCAGATCCGCAGCAGCCCACCTTCTCCCTGACAGCGCACTTGCCTCAGGCCCACTCCCAGGATGTCAACTGTGTAGCCTGGAACCCCAAGGAGCGGGGGCTTCTGGCCTCCTGCAGTGATGATGGGGAGATGGCCTTCTGGAAGTATCAGCGGCTTGAAGGCCTCTGAGCCACCTTGACTTTGGACAGAATTATGGTTCCCCTCAAAATGTCATTAAGACTTTTCTAGCTCAAGAAGACCTGGAAGAGCAGCCTGGCCTTCCTTTAACTTGGCTCTCCCGTTCAGATCTGGGTAGACATACGGAGCCATAGGACTACTCACTCCTTCCCATGCTGACATGGGCCCTTGGTGAACTGCAGAAGAACAGTACCTTGTAGTTATGCCACGGATTTTGCTTCCCTTCAGGACACAGTGCTAAAGTTTGCAGGGTGAATGTACTACTTATAATCACCGTGTTTATATATCAGAGGCATGTATCTCAGACCTTTCTGAAATTGTAAGCCATATAGAAATAATCCATCTGAGTCCCAAGTCCTATTTATATTATTAGGACATTCATAATTTAAAACATTTCCATGATGAGTCCCTTTCTGAAATAGGTCCTGCCTTCCCGATTTCTGACCAAGTCCTTGCATTTAAGACATTCACTCAGTATTGAAGATTTTCTAATGTAGGCTAGTTTAGAGTAAGACACCTCTGCTTTCCCTTAGGAACCTTTGTGTATCTTCTATGCCTTCCGGGGAATGCCAGAAAAATAGGGAAGGGTGTGACCTCTAAAAGGGAGAATTATTATTGGCCATAGGCCATGCATTCTCAATGGGGCTGAAAATTGGCTCTTCGGTGAAGGACAGAAAAATCTTAGAGACAATGATCTGTGGCCTTCTAAGGGACTGTAGTACACAATATACAGTGTATCTATGGTATTAAATTTTCATGGTGAGGGCAAGTAGGCAAAAGATGTCTGATAGAGCCCTGGCTGGTTGCTCAGTGGTTGGAGCGTCAGCCTATGAACTACGGACCACTGGTGGTCCGTGAGGTCCGAAAGGTTGGCGAGCGCTGGACCAAAGGGTCCCAGGTTCTATTCCCGGCCAAGGGCACATACTTGGGTTATAAGTTCTCCAGCCTTGGTAGGAGCACGTATGGGAGACAACCATCCAATGTGTCTCACATCGATGTTTCTCTCCCCTTCTTCCTCCTTTCCACTCTCTAGAAATCAATGGAAAAAATATCCTTGGGTGAGGATTAAAAAAAAAAAAAAGATGTCTAATATAGCTCTTTAAGAGAGTGATAATGAAAGAAAGGTGGTGAATCACTGCCATGGGCGATCAGTTCTGTCATCTCAAGTTCTTTTGTCATCTCCACATGGGTTTTGACTTGAGGACAGTTCCCCAAAGCTATAGCCTTCATTAATTTTTACACAACAGAAATATTGACAGACTGAAGTGGCAGACAGAGCAGTACCAACCCAAGCGCCTGGAGGTTGGGTCCGAGAGGTCAGCTGTTGACATTGGCAGGAACCATGGCAGTGGCACCAACTAGTTATAGTTTTGGGTTTTCTTTTTCTTTTTTTTAAATCATCATCCGAGGATATTTTTTCCATTATTTTTTTAGCAAGAATGGGAGTGGGGGAGAGAGAAACATCAATATGAGAGAAACATTGGTTGCCTCCTGCGTGCACTCCGACCAACTAGGGCCAGGGATGGAACCTGCAACCCAGGTACATGCCCTTGACCAGAATCGAACCTGTGACCATTTGGTGTGTGGGCTGGAGGTCTAACCACTGAGCTACCAGCACAGCAGTATTGTCAACTTCACTTAGAAATGTCCTTCAAGAACAAATACAGGCTATAAGATCTTGACCCTTGGGAAACGATGGCAATGGCAGCATGCAGAAGCACAGAGGTCTGTCTTAAGGAAAAGCAGATGTGTAGCTGAGTGAGCCATGTATCATTTTTACTTAAAAGAAGTAGCAAATTGTGGTATCAAAACTTGGCTACTTGGCCTTTGATTTCTAGGAAATGAATGAGCCTTTCACTTCAAGGGCAACTGATAGCATTGCCAATGATCAAGCTTTCAAGCAAAAATTAGAATTTTGGAAAACTTGCATAGCCACCATGAGCTTGCCATCTTCCCAATTCTTACTCTCCTGATGAGATTGGTGGTGAAACCAACAAATGTGATTTGTAGGATGAAATATGTCGACATATGTCTGCCTGATTAAGTGAATCAGCATTTTCCAAATGATTAATGCATGATGTTACAGAATCACTCATGGGTAAGAGGTAAGAGAGACTGTAGGTCTTAACATAATGGTACAAGAAGCTCATTGATAAGGTTTCAGACTCCACATTGCACCTAAGAAACTATCACTTACGGAGTCTCACTATAGCATCGAATAGCCACAGTTTCCTGAAATGGCTATAAAAACTTCCAACTGCTTATGTGTATAAAGTCAGCTTCAATTTAAATAACACACAATTGAAGCAACTACAAGAATCCTTGTCTTCTATTTAATCAGACAGGAATGAGATTTTAAAAAATGTCACAGGCCACTCTTTTCCCTGGATTTGCTTTGGAAGTAATGTTTTTATTGATTTTAGAGAGGGAGAGAAAAACATCAATCAGTTACCTCCCTCTAGCACCCTCACCAGGGACTAACCCACAAGCTAGGTATGTACCCTGACCAGGAATCAAACCAGTGACACACATACACGGGATGATGCTCAACCTCAAACAGCCACACTGGCCAGGGCTGTTTTTATTTTTAATATAGTAAATATCAGTGGATAATAACCTCTGGGGTTCTTAATTTTTATAGTGTAAAGGGTTCCTAAGATCTAAGGAAAATATCCTTGAGAATCATCTAATTTTATGCAGTTGTTCCTAAAGAGCAGAAGGCAAGAATTTGGAGTAGAAAGCTTGCAGATCTGGATCACAGTATCAGTGTACCCAGCTGGTACATTTCAATCCCTCCTGTGCTGCCTCCTTTGGGGGGCGGGAGTCTACAGATCTTGAGAAATTTCTAACCTTGGATCTGCCCCTGCAGCTGTGTTAGTTCCTGCAGTGGTGGTGATACCCGGGTAGCAAGAGATGGGGGCAGGTATACTGACTAAAGAGAAGTTACCTAACCCCTCCTCCTCCACACTGGCTGAAATGGCTGCCTGTGACAGCCCAACAAACAGCCTTGTCCTCCAGAAGTATTCCTTCTAAGCGAATTCAGTGGTTAAAAAAATAAATATTTTTGGCCATGACGCCTTAGGTTAACAAAAGGAAATTTAATTTGGAATCAATGGAACAACAAATGGTTTCTTCAACTTGTTTTATTAGAATGTCTGATTGTGTAATCAAAGAACTACCAAGAACATGCATAAAAATGCTGTACAGATTATGCTTAACAGCTACACGACACCTCAAAGAACTACCAAGAACATGCATAAAAATGCTGTACAGATTATGCTTAACAGCTACACGACACCTCAAAGAACTACCAAGAACATGCATAAAAATGCTGTACAGATTATGCTTAACAGCTACACGACACCTCAAAGAACTACCAAGAACATGCATAAAAATGCTGTACAGATTATGCTTAACAGCTACACGACACCTGCAGACACTGGATCCAAAGTTTGGATGACAAGGTAGCAAGCGGAAAACTGGAGGTGGGCTGGGACGGCACCTGCGTTGACTGCCAGTTCTTCCAGCCAACAGACCTGGTCTCCATAGCTGTGATCCCGATCAACTGTACAAGTTTCAACTCTATGCAAAGGCAAAGGCCTCTGCACTCAATCCGAGTCGCTGTCTGTCTCGGCTTCTTTCACATCCTTCTGCTGCATCAGCCTCTTGATGGAGATGAGGCTATTGGACTTGGCATCTCCGATCACCACCCACCAGCCCTCTTCACGTTTCTGTAGTAGTGAAAAGCCAAGAATTTCAGCACATAAAAGTTGACAGCTATGCAATACTTTCAACAATAAAGACTTTAAAAAATAAAATGAAACTTGACAGCCATGAGACCATGAGAATGGTTACAAAAGTAGGAAAACAAAAACCAGATAGAAAACTTTCTAAAATTTCCTCATGAAATATAATTTGATAAAACAGTTCATTTGCCCTAGCCGGCTTGGCTCAGTGGATAGAGCGTCAGCCTGCGGACTGAAGGATCCCAGGTTCAATTCCAGCCAAGGGCACATGCCTGGGTTGCGGGCTCGTTCCCTAGTGGGGGGTGTGCAGGAGGCAGCCAATCAATGATTCTCTCTCATCATTGATGTTTCTATCTCTCTCTCCTCCCTTCTTCTCTGAAATCAATAAAGAAATATATTTAAAAAACACACACACACAAAAACTGAGTTCATTTGAGATACCTTGTAACAGTTTCAAAATCTAAGTAGCAAATGGACTCATTTTTTTGGTTCTGGCCCTTCTCCATTCAGTACTTGCCCCTGCATCCAAGATTCCAGTGTCAGAGATCGAGATTCTCTGGCCTGGCAGCTTTGAGCCCTTCAGACACCCCTTTAAGGCACATGTGCCAGACTGACTGACACATAAATGGGGAGAGGAGCCTGCCTCAGAGAGCATCTATCAAGACACCTGCTGCCACTCCACTGTGAGAAAGCGCAAGAATTCCAGATCCCAGCATCATTCCTCAGAGCGTATTAAACCAGTTTGTAAAATTAAACTTAGTATATCTGGTTTCTGCTTTTAATCTTTAAAAGCATATCCTGCCCTGACCGGTTTGGCTCAGCGGATTAGAGCGTCGGCCTGTGGACTGAAGGGTCCCAGGTTCGATTCCGGTCAAGGGCATGTACCTTGGTTGCGGGCACATCCCCAGTAGGGGGTGTGCAGGAGGCAGCTGATCGATGTTTCTCTCTCATCGATGTTTAACTCTCTGCCCCTCTCCCTTCCTCTCTGTAAAAAAATCAATAAAATATATTTTAAAAAAACACATCCTAGCCCTAGCTGGTTTGGTCCAGTGGTGTCGCCTGCAGACTAGGGTCCTGGGTTCAATTCTGGTCAAGGGCACATGCCCAGGTTGTGGGCTTGATCCCTCCTAGTAGGGGGCGTGCGGGAGGCAGCCAATCAATGATTCTTTCTGATCATTGATGTTTCTATCTCTTTCTACCACTCCCTTCCTCTCTGAAATCAATTAAAACAAAAACAAACACACATCCTGGAACCATTTAATTTAAGGTTAAAGACAAATATGTTTTAACAATCACAGATTGGCAAGACTGTTCAACTGGTATTTTTAACAATGACCAGTCATCTAAACTGTCTTAAGGCAAAAAAAACATCAACGGCCCTAGCGATTTGGCTCAGTGGATAGAGCATCGGCCTGCGGACTGAAGGGTCCCAGGTTCCATTCCAGTTAAGGGCACATATCATGGTTGGGGCGTGTGCAGGAGACAACCAATCAATATGTCCCTCTCACATCGATGTTTCTCTCTGTCTCTCCCCCTCCCTTTAAAAAAAAAAAAAATGTCCCCATTAATTCTCAGTATATGCTTCCTGACTTCATTATTACTCTGAACGTCTCT